AGTCACTGGGTTGGGAAGATCCCCTGGAGAAAGAAATGCCAGCCCATTCTTGCCTGGGAAATCCCATGGACAGAGGAGCCTGGTGGGCTACAGTCCATGGGTTACAAAAGAGTCAGACATGACTTACCAACAAAACAACAACAACAAAATATTCATGAGCTTCATTTTGAGATGCAGCTAGGTAACACTGAAACAGTCTGATATTTTCAAGGCTTGCTTTTAAGGTTTGTTAAGTGAGACCAGGCAGCATAATTTGAGAGCATAATTTTGTCCCATTACTAAGGCAGTATCCTTGTGAGCACTCTACCTTGTTTATTACAGGGTTTTTTAAGATTCTGGCTGGTAGTAAGATGAACTATACCTGGCTTTGTGTGAGCTTGGCCTGTTTTCCCCTAGGTTTTCAAGTGGCTCCTCCCCACTTTGTGTTTTTTTCTCATATACATGCCCCCTTCGATATGTGGGGAAAAGTGAAAGTAAGTAACTCAGATAAGATTCGTAATGACAGTTGCCTTTGATCAGAAGAATAAAAGATAATATAATTTATGTTCTGTCCTTTAAAGAAAGAAAAGTTAAATAATAGTGATGGAATTTGTATCTACTCACTGTATGTTTAAATTGAAATTAGGCTGAAGAATTTAGATTTTGTTATAGTTTTACTGTTTTCTGCAATCCATTTGTTGTTCAGTTGCTCAGTCATGTTTGACTCTTTGCAGCCCCATGGGCTGCAGCACGCCAGGCTTCCCTGTCCTGTAGCATCTCCCAGAGCTTGCTCAAACTCATGACCATTGAGGCAGTGATGCCATTCAACCAACTCATCCTCTGTCATCCCCTGCCTTCAGTCTTTCCCAGCATCAGGGTCTTTTCCAATGAGTCAGTTCTTCGCATCAGGTGGCCAAAGTATTGGAGCTTCAGCATCAGTCCTTCCAGTGAATATTCAGGATTGATTTTCTTTATGATTGACTGGTTGGATCTCCTTGCAGTCCAAGGGACTCTCGAGAGTCTTCTCCAACACCACTCTTACATCCATACATGACTACTGGAAAAACCATAGCTTTGACTAGACAGACCTTTGTCACCAAAGTAATGTCTCTGCTTTTTAATATGCTGTCTAAGTTTGTCACAGCTTTTCTTCCAAGGAGCAAGCGTCTTTTAATTTCATGGCTGCAATCACCATCTACAGTGATTTTGGAGCTCAAGAAAATAAAGTCTGTCACTGTTTCCTGTATTTCCCCATCTATTTTGCTGTGAAATGATGGGACCAGCTGCCATGATCTTCATTTTTTGAAAGTTGAGTTTGGGGCCAACTTTTCACTCTCCTCTTTCACCTTCAAAAGACTTTAGTTTGTCTTCGCTTTCTTCCATAAGGGTGGTGTCATCTGCATATCTGAGGATATTGATATTTCTCCTGCCAATCTTGATTCCAGCTTGTGGTTCATGCAGCCCAGCATTTTCACATGATGTGTTCTGCATAGAAGTTAAATAAGCAGGGTGACAATATAGAGCCTTGACGTACTCCTTTCCCAATTTGGAACCAGTCTGTTGTTCCATGTCCAGTTCTAACTGTTGCTTCTTGACCTGCATACAGATTTCTCAGGAAGCAGGTAAGGTGGTCTGGTATTCTCATCTCTTTAAGAATTTTCCACAGTTTGTTCCACAATCAAAGGCTTTAGCCTAGTCAATGAAGCAGAAGTAGATGTATTCCTGGAATTCTCTTGCTTTATATATGATGCAGTGGATGTTTGCAGTTTGATCTCTGGTTCCTCTGCCTCTTCTAAATCCAGCTTGAACATCTGGAAGTTCTTGGTTCACGTACTGTTGAATCCTAGCTTGGAGAATTTTGAACGTTACTTTGCTAACGTGTAAGAAGAGTGCAATTGTGCGGTAATTTGAACATTCTTTGGCATTGCCTTTCTTTGGGATTGGAATGAAAACTGACCTTTTCTAGTGATTTCACTTTCACTTTTCACTTTCATGCATTAGAGAAGTAAATGGCAACCCACTCCAGTATTCTTGCCTGGAGAATCCCAGCGATGGGGGGGCCTGGTGGGCTGCCGTCTATGGGGTTGCACAGAGTTGGACACGACTGAAGCAGCTTAGCAGCAGCAGTCCTATGGCCACTGCTGAGCTTTCCAAACTTGCTGGCATATTGAGTGCAGCACTTTCACAGCATCATCTTTTAAGACTTGAAATAGCTCAGCTGGAATCTTATCACCTCCACTAGCTTTGTTTGTATTGATGCTTCCTAAGACCCAGTTGACTTCATACTTGCAATCCATACTGCATAGTGAAGTGAGTACTCCATACTGGGTACTCCATACTTCCATACCTCTGTCCTCCTCCCTTTCCCCACTTGCAGTGGCTGTGTCCATGTATATAAGTGATGATCTTGTATAGAGCAGTGGTTTTATTTCATATGCAATACCTAGATTTTAATGTAGTTTGGTACACAACTGTACTTACGGTTCCTGACTGGCATTTAACAATGTAAATACTTAACTGTGTACAGTGCAAAGAAATATGGAACTTTAATCATAAATTCACAATTGATAGGTGCTGAAAAAAACTATTCGTTTAAAACCCCATAGGTAGTACAAAAATTTTTGTCTAGTAGGAGCCACCATTGACATAAAATATAAAAGTAGAGCTTTTTCAGATTTTAATAAATTACTATGGTTTTTGATACTTGTTAACAAAGGAGATTTTACTCTACTTTTAGAAATTAAGAATGAGTTCTTACTTCAAAATCTCACAAAATTAATTGGTGTGTGTGTGTGTTTCATTTCTAGATACTGTTAGGAAGATAAATTTGTCACCTTAAAAACCATATTATTTCATTCCTAGGTCTCACAACTTTTAGTCTCTTATGAAGCTTTCTGTTAATTTAGAAAGTGGTAATAGAAGATATAAGCTTCATAAAACCTTTTTAATGAGACATTTTGGATATTTTTCAAATATCATCTCATCACGTCTCAAAAAGTACTCAGTAAAGGTAGCTCAACACTGATGAAGACTGTTCAAATCTCAGGAATATTTTGTTCCTAATAGCAAAAGTTCTCCTTTGAAAAGTATGCCATTGAAGTTAACGTGTTAATATTGTGTTTGGAATAGGCATTGTCTTGAGTGTATTCCTTGATGAAATGAAAATACTCTGTGGAATAAGTCTTAGCAGAAGGGTCATCTGCAACATTTGTAATAGATGTCATTATATAATAAAGTATTTGTGATAATAATTATATTTTCTGTTATATTTTTCATTTTTATTGAAATACAATTGATTTACAGTGTTTGTTGTATTAGTTTCTTGAATATATATATGTGGGGGGTATATGTATAAATATTTTAGATTCTTTTCCATTATAGGTTATTATTCAGTATTGTGTAGAGTTCTCTGTGTTGTATGGTAGGTCCATATTGGTTATGTTTTTTATATATAGTAGTATGTCTATGTTAATCCCAAACTCCTAATTTATCCTCCTTCCTTTCCCTTTTGGTAACTGTAAGTTTGTTTTCTATGTCTGTGAGTCTGTATCTGTTTTATAAACAAGTTCATTGTATCCTTTTTTTAGATTCCACATCTGTGTGGTATCATATGGTATTTGTCTTTGTCTAACTTACTTCACTTGGTATGATCATCTCTAGGCCCATCCATGTTACTGCACATGGCATTATTTCATTCTGTTTTATGGCTGAGTAATATTCTGTTGTATGTATATACCACATCTTCTTCATCCCTTCATCTGTCAGTGGACACTTGGGTTGCTTCCATGTCTTGGCTGTTATAAATAGTGCTGCAGTGAGCATTGGCGGGGCATGCATCTCTTTGAATTAGAGTTTTCTCAGAATATATGCTGAAGAGTGAGATCACTGTGTTTTTAGTTTTTTAAGTGACCTTCATTGTTGTTGTTGTTTAGCCTCTAAGTCATGTCCAACTCTTTTATGACCCCCAATGACTGTAGCCTATCAGACTCCTCTGTCCATGGGATTTACCAGGCAAGAATACTTGAGTTGGGTTGCCGTTTCCTTCTCCAGGGGATCTTCCCAACCTAGGGATCAAATGCATGTCTCCAGCATTAGCCGGAGGATTTTTTACCATTGCGAAGCCCAAGGAACCTTCATAGTCTCCATAGTGGCTATACCAATTTACATTCCCACCAATAGTGTAGGAAGGTTCTTTATCTCCACATCTTCTCCAGCATTTATTATTTGTAGACTTTTTGATGACTATTCTGACCAGTGTGAGGAGATACCTCACTGTAGCTTTGATTTATATTTCGCTAATAATTAATGATGGCGAGAACCTTTTCATGTGCTATCTGGCCATTCGTAGGTCTTCTCTTTAGAAAAATGTCTGTTTAGATCTTCTGCTCATTTTTTATTTTTTAATATTAAGCTGTGTGAGCTGTTCGTATTTTGGAAATTAATTCCTTGACAGTCACATCATTTGCAAATATTTTCTCTTGTTCCATAGTTTGTCTTTTAATTTTGTTGATAGTTTCCTTTGCTGTGCAAAAGCTTTCAGTTTAATTAGGTCATGTTTGTTTATTTCTCTTTTATTTTCATTACTCTAGGAGGTGGATCGAAAAAGATATTGCTGCGATCTGCGTCAGAGTGTCCTGCCTATGTTTTCCTCTAGGATTTTTACAATATCCATTCTTACATTTATTTTTATTTTTTAATTAATTAATTTATTTAAATTGGAGGATAAATACTTTACAGTATTTTTATGGCTTTTGCCATACATTAGCATAAATCAGCCATAGGTATACATGTGTCCCCTCACTCAGAACCCTTCTCCCACCTCCCTCTCCACCTAGTCTTACATTTAGGTCTTCAATCTGAGTTTATTTTTATATATGGTGCTAAAGAATATTTTTAAGCAGTGGAATAGATTAAAACATAGAACTCGTTTTTTATGATTCAGTTTATTGGAAGTCATTCTAATTATCCCTTTTATTTCCTCTTTATCCATCCCCTGCATCCCTTTCTTTTTCCACTCACAGCTCTATGCCATCCCTTGGTTTCTCACCATGTTTACTCGTAAGTATCCTTTTCCATTTTCTTTCAATATTGTATTAGGAAAAGAACAGGTCCATTCTTCCCTAGGATATTATCAGATTTAATTACATAAGCATCCTTATGTAATTCTAAGGTAATATAGTTGGGTAGAAAATTTTTTCAATTGTTCTGACTGGGGAATATCAAAAAGAGTATTCTGTAAAATGAAAACCTATATGTCATAACATTGATACAATTTCTGCCTTCTATTGAAACATAATATTAACTGTACTATTTACATAAAGTTTTAGAAGGCAACTTTTACAACCAAATCAGACTCAATTTTTAGAGACTGTCTAATAGCTAATACTTTTGTTATTTCCTAAAGTAGAATTCTTCTAGAAATAGAAAGTTAGTGTGAATATGTAATACTTTAATCTATTACACATATTAATGCAGTAGATATCTAGGTTAAATATGCACATATGATAAATGAAATACAATACTTGAAGTAGATATGCATGCACTGGCCTGGAAAGGTGTTGAGAGTACTGATAAATGAGAAAAAGAAAGTTTCAGAAAATAGAAAACTGTTAATCAGATTTTTTATGGGAATTTCAAAAAGCGGTTCTTAGAGTGCATAATAGAAATATAATGATACAGAAATTATAACAATACTAAAGTTCTTCTGAGTAAATGAACTTGTTAAAATAATATAACCAGAAAATTCTAGGAAGCAATTGAGTGTAAGAGCTATACCAAGATTGATAATAGAGGATAGGAAAGTCGTCTCTTTGATCAATTAGATTATCAATTTTTTAAGCCTGTCAATTTTACTGCCTTGGGAAGCAGTGAACCTACAAAGCCAAGTAAACATTTTTTAAAAATAGTTTTCCAGTATTTGTTCTTTAATAGTTTTGACCATAAGGGAATTATCTTGACTAGTAAAGCAGCTTGTTGTTGATTTAATTTTTATTTTGTTTTAAATTTTTTAATTGATTTATTTCTATTTGTCACGTTACAGATGTATTTCCACTGCACAAAATTTTCCACCTCTGGGATACCTTACTGCTTGGGAACTCCTCTTTCCCATTCTGTATCGGAGTAGCGATTCTTCAGCAGCTGCGTGAGCGACTTTTGGCTAATGGCTTTAATGAGTGCATCCTTCTCTTCTCTGACTTACCAGGTATAGGTATATAAAAATGGAGTCACTAAGTGAAACTTCATTATGGGGTAATGAGACACCCTTAAATCAATTTTCAAAAATCATCATCCAGATCTTCAGAGTCGCTTCTACTTGAGCTGCATCCTTCCTCTCTGAGCTCTCTCCCTTGTGCGCCACCTCTTTAGTCAGACCAGTGTTGCAGATACAAAGTGGGGCATACTAGCTCACTGTCATTTATTTTCATGTCGGTGATGACGCCAAAAGGTGAAAGACAAGGGCATGGGAAGGAGGGGAAGGGAGCAGTGTGTGACATATTTGCCTTGCTTAGGATAGGCCTGTTTATCTTCAGCAGACAGATAGTAAATAAAGGCCACTTGGGAAGGTGTTTGAGAACCCAAGTTTTTACAAAGATGTAATTCACATTGAACGTTGCTCTCTCCTATCCATGGTTAACTTGCTAACTATTTAATAGTTTAAAGAAAGGAAACACTGTCCTCTTGAGAGAGCAAATCATACTCCAGGGGAATAAATTCTATATTATGCTGGATAGTAAGTAAAGTTATATATTGTATTCATAAATGAGGAACTTGTAAGTGTAGGAGTTGGTTAGTGTAGAAATACAGAATGCAGGTATAGTTTAAGCTTTTATGCTATAGCTGAAAAGATGGAAGTAATATGGTTGCATAGAATATAATTGTGGCAGAAAAAAGAAAACTAAGCTACATTTTTGCAGAAACCAAAGTATTTTTCAAGTAAAAAAATTCTATTTCAAATTGCATTTCATTGGCTCCAACCCATCTATGGGTTTATTGCTATTCTTCATATTTGCAGGCAACCAAGGTGATTACTGAAAATAAACACACTTAAAATTATCCAAGAGATAAATTTGTCAAAAAAATCAAAGAATAAAAGAAAGATATCTTAAGATTTCATATTCAATATGTACTCTCAAAAGGAATAATAAACTGCTGCCTACCCCAGTTTTTATTTTTAGTGGCTCATCTGTACCTCGTATTTCAGCATTTTTCTGTTGTTGAAAATCTTCATCCTTTTTGAGAAACTAATAAGAAACTTTATGGGATTTATTTAAAACTTCTCTTTCTACTTTCCTCCCAAACTAAAAGTATCACCATCAGCTTCCTAACTTATCAAATTTTAATTAAAGTTAATAACTTCTTATATGAACAAGTAGTTTAGTTCTTATATTTTTTTTTCTGGGAGATTCTTAATGTAAATCAGGTTATCTCTAGTTTTCCTGATGATGTTGAACAGTTACACAAAAAAAAGCTAGTTTCACAAGCTACAAATACTGTCTGTAACCCTGCAGATGTTTTCCTCTTGTCCCTAACCTGCCAAAGTAAACAGAGGATGATTGATGAGGATGAAAGGAATTTTTCTGGTCATGTCTAAAAAATACATGTTAGAAATGATGATTGTGCATTTTTAAGTAAAGCAAATTTCTTGCCTTTCCAATTACATGCATAAATGTTCCAGTTATACGCTGGTGAAGGAATCTATTTTCATATTGAACAGGCAGATTAGACGTAACTCTGCATGTATATTAAAAGTCATTATTTCTGAAATCAGAACGTAAGAATGTATGTTGGTTAGCACTGACTCATTGAAAAGGAAAACACTACTTAGTTTTGAGAGTAGAATCGGATGCTTTCTATTGATGTGATTTGCATGGATCCTCAGTGCCATTGTTCTGACTCATCATTTATGTGAACACTGTATCTGATTCCAGTTGAGAAAGAAAAAAGTTTATAAGAAAAAATGTGAAAACGAAAAAAGAAGGGCAGAGGGGTTAAATGTAAACCTTTCCCTTAAGTATATCTATGTTTCTTTTTATTTTTAATCACAGTGCAATTATTTGGGATGTCTTTCCTACTTAGATTTAAAAGATGTCTCTCTTCATCATGTTGAGCCCCTCACTATACCTGATGCTTGAAGAAACTCAGAAGTGGTCATGGGAAGGCCTCAAAAGTGAACCTGGATTAATATACATACAAACACACTGAATATGCCTTTTCTAATCAAAATATTATGTGACATAAACTTAGGACATATTTGAAAGGCAAAAAAGCCATTTTTTTAAGACTGTAAAAAAAGAAAAAGAATAGATAGGCTAGCTCTATATTTTACCTTAATTCTTGAAATAGACTTTGTAGATAAAGATAGGTTAGGATTAAACATTAATTTGAACTCATTAAACATATTGTGCTTTACTGAAACCCCTACTTAACTGTGTTTAAAAGCATAAGTAAGCAATCAGAACAAATTAAGCTAAATTCTTTTTTGAAGCAGATTAGCAAATTCACTGTTCAAAACATCTGTTGACAGTAATACAACGGAATCACCATCCAGTTGGTAACCTTGTAAACAAAATGCCCTTGCAATTTTTTTTTTAATTGTCCCATTCTAGTTGCTTCTTTCTACAAAGAGAGGTCCAAAAGCCTAGTGACTAAGAGCATGGAATGTGGAGCCAGATCATTTGGGTTTTAGACACTAGCTCTACCACTTTCTATTGTATAACCTCAGGGACCTGACTCAGCCTCTTTGTATCTGTTTCCTTAGCCCTGATTTTATGTAGATAATAATTGTACCTACCTCACAGGATTGCTGTCCTAACTAAATCAGTGCATCTAAACAACTTAGAGCAGTTCTTGCAGAGAGCAAGTGCTATGTAAGTGATTATTATTATTAATGTTATCATCATCATCATGATTTCCCTCACTTATTCCTTTCTATCGTGACTGCTTTCCTATTGGTAGAATAAATGAAGCAATCACCCTATTTGGCTTTTTCTATAAATTGTTGAGATTGATATCAATCATGTAGATTTCCTTATTAGCAAAAGCAATTGAGGAATTACCTGAGAAGCCAAGTAAGCCTTCAGTGTATGTGTGTGTATGTGTATTATGACTAAGAAGAGTATCTCTTTTCATTGCTCAGAGACAACATAGTCTAATGGATAGAAAGCACAGTCTTTGGAGTCAAGACATAAGAGTGTGAGTCCTAACTGTTCCACTCACTGCCTGTGTGATCTGGGAAACTTTCAGTGTGGTTCTTTTGCTGAGAAGAGTGATATGTAGAGTGAAATAGATACGAGTTCACCCCCCAGCTCTGGCATATATTAGCTGTGTGAACATGAACAAGTTGTTAATCTCTTTGGAAAGAGAATCCTATACATTATGAAAGCTTTAGCAAAATGAAGCTAAAAATATGTTTTGGCGTTAAGAGTGAGCACAACAGATAATATTCATAGTGTACCTGACACAAAACCTGATACCAAATACTCATAACTATTCTTTAAAGTATGTATAGCTTTTAATGCTTTAAACATACAAAGAATGTGTGACATTCAGTCTTTGTAAATTCCCTCCCTTTTCTTCCTCCTTTCCATAACTTTGTACTAACCTTTTAATTCTTCAAGAGAGAACACAGCGTAAAGGCATTATTATTTTTGCCAAAAGCTGCTTCCAAATTCTGTCCCCTTTAGTAAATGATATAGTGTGATGTCACATTCCAAGGGGGTACAAGTGGTGCTAGAAAATTTTGCTGGGAGGTTCTTAACATGTATTGGTATTTGTGTCATTTAAGTACTCAAGGAAATAACCATGAGAGCAGTATATTTGGCATTTTTCATACAGTCTCAAAGTAGTAGTAATAGGGTATTTTAGAAGAAATACTGGGTTCTTCATAGCACCGTTCAGTACTGGATATTGGCCACTGGTGTTAAGAGTATCGTTTCCAAAGCTACCACCTGTTCAACCCAACTACAGGATGAGGTCTGTCAGCCTTCGCCATATTATTCTGCTATCGTGTCCATCTAGCTGACAAAATAATTTTTTTTGAGGATACATCTAAGCAGTTCCCAAGATGAATATGATAATCTGATTGAAACCAAAATGGTAGTAATTTTAGAGTGGATTTGTAATAGCTGAAATGTTTAATTGCTTTTTTGCTTTGTTGGTGTATATCCTTTTTACAGTTAAAAATTAATGCAACATATTTATGTAATTATGGTTGAAATAAATTCTCAGAATGCATAACTTTGTACCTCTGAACATCTTCAAAGATAGGAATCTTTTAAAGTAAGAAAGTTTTTCTTAGAGAATCTATAAAAGAAATTAGGAAATCTGTATGGAAAAACACTTCACTTACTCTCAGAGATTAAAATGTTTACTTTACCATTGAAAGAAATAAGTATGTTTAAAGTATTTTGAAGGAAATACTGTATATATTGAAGTAACTTGAACGTGTGAAAAGTAAATCCTTTTTGCAGGAAGAAATCAGCAGTTGGTTGAAACATCTTAGTTGTCTGATGTATGTTTTATTACAGAAATTTAATTAAAACATTTTAAATAAAACTTTAAGATGTTATCTCACTATTACCTACATACTTTACAGTAGGATTCAACACATACATGAAAAATACTGGTAGTGTCTATCATGTAGCACTTCACTGGTTCCTCAAAAATATTGGAGCTCAGCAAAGTTACTTAACCATTTTGACTTAAAGCAGTTTTGTAATGCAGCCTTTAGTGTTATTTAGCATAGCAAAGAATATGTCATGAAAATCACACTTAGTTTGAGCAACACAGTTATGTACCAGGTTACCTAAGATGTATGCCGAGAAATCCCTAGCCATTTATTTCAAATAACATGCACATATTTTGAGACTGAGGGAAAAGTTATTAAAGTTTTTAAGAACTAAGAAATAGAGCAAAGTACTGAAGTATGTAGAATCCTTAAAGCTATGTCTTGTTATTTTCCTGTTTGTCCACAAGATGAAACTGAAAATCAGTGATAATGAGAGAGTGAGGAAGAAATGCAATTTAGTTTGTGAAATCATAGATTTAAGGTACTGGTGACAGTCCCTGTCATAGTAAAGTGTGAAAGGAGATCAATAAGAACTGATCTGGGTTTTCCTTTTTTTTGGATAGGGTTCAGTGAATAATTTCTTGCTTTCATTTAGGGATAAGTATAAATTAAATAGGGTTTTCATAGTATTTATG